GCAACGAACGAGTCCGTTGCCCTCGGTGAGTACCGCAGAACCTATGGCGCAACCTGTGGCACATCAACTGGGGCAACGGATCGCGTGGTTGCTCACGGGGTGTCTAGCGCAACAGATTGGGCAGCTCCCTACGGTCTCGAGGTGCACCATATGCAATATGCTCCTTACGGTCTCGAGGCAGGGTGAAGGTCTTGAGCAATTGACAACTTCGGGCAAGTGTTTTTCTCAACCATCCTGTGGTGTTAGGCCCTTCTTTTGAAGAGGCAGCACCCCGTGCCTGCGTCTCTCACTCACGCTTCTCCTACACCCCCTCCCTTCCCCATCACCATCATCATCATCATCATCATCATCATCATCATCATCATCATCATCATCATCATCACCATCATCACCATCATCATCAGCATCATCATCATCGCCATCATCATCATCATCATCATCATCATCATCATCATCATCATCATCATCATCATCATCACCATCACCATCATCACCACCACCACCACCATCATCATCATCATCATCATCATCATCATCATCACCATCATCATCATCATCATCATCATCAGTATCGCCATCCTCAACACCATCGGCATCATCATCAGCATTATCAGCATCACCATCAGCTGTATCATCATCAGCATCAACAGCAGCATCAACATGCCCAGCATAATCATCCTCATCGCCGTCATCATCACCATCATCGTCATCTTGATTACTGCCCTCACCACCATCATCGACACTTATTTCGGCACACCCCTCACACGTTTCGTGGCCCCAAGGGGAGATCCACCCACAACCCCGCAAACACCGTCCACATGCGTCCTCGCCACCTATGTCGGCACACCTCTCACACGTTTCGCAGGAGCTTCACGCCTGGAGGGCGGGCCGTCTTCAAATGTGGCTCTCGCCTTTGCGCCGCGCGCACTCGTCCCAAACATTTGTAAAACTTTCACGGATTGAGGGTGGGTCGTTTCAAACTTTGGCTCTGGCCTTGGCAGCGAGCAAACTCGACTTAAGCAATTCCAAGAGCTTCATGGGCGGAGGGCGGTTCCTTTTCAGAATGTGGTTTTCGCTGTGGCGCCGAGAGCATTCGTTTTAACAATTTGCAAAGCTTCACGGATGAAGGGCGGCTCCTTTTCAACATGTGGTTATCGCCCTAACGTCTCGAACCTTCGTTTTAAATGGTTAACATTCCAGAAATGGTGTTGTGGCACAAATTCGGATTGTCAGAGCGCACCAGGTACTTGTATTCGCGGTGCCGAAATCCCAGGATCGTGATCTCGCACGAGTCAAGATCGTCCAAACGCAAGAGTACCGTTGGTTCGCGGCGGTCCCAGGAATGGGGACCTGGCGCAATTCAGGATTTTCAAATTGTCTTCCAACGGGACACTTCCCTCAGTGAACATGAATCCTTGTACGGGCCTATGAAAAGAGAGCTTGGAGGGAGGGTGTAATGCGATATCGTTGATGGGTCTTGGGTGTATGCTGGTTATACCTTCGCCTCCTCCTCCTCCCCACACCCCCTCCTCGCGTCCTTCCCCCCCGTCCTCCTCGTCGCTCCCCCTCGTCCTCCTCCCTCGCCCTCCTCCTTCCCCTCCTCCTCCCTTTCCCCGCCCCACTCCGCCCACCACCCGGCCCGTCCCCTGCCGCCCGGCCCCTCGCGGCAGGCTGTGCCTGCCCGGCCTTCACCTCGACGCGGCCCGGGCCCGCTCGGCCGTGCTCTCGCCTGGCGGGCGGCAAGGACGCGGGGGGAAGGGGGGGCCCGAAATCCCGGTACTGCCATTCTCGCTCACGCTAGGCCCTCTCGGCTGGGCTTCGGGCCCCGGGGCTCTCACAGATCGATCTGGCTCGGAAGAGTGCGCAGGAAGATTTCGGTAGGTGAGCGTTTTTCCCTACCCAGGCTCTGCCTAGAGGGTTCGTACTCTCTTTCTTAAAGGGGCCGGGCAGTGCACACCGCCCCGGGCGGTTCCCCCAGTATTCGCCCCGCGGTTCCCCCAGTTGCGCCCCCTTGGCATAGCTTTGCTTATCTCATCTTAGCTTAGCCTAGCTTAACTTAGCCTAGCTTAGCTTCGCTTCGCTTCGCCTAGCCTAGCTTAGCTTAGCTGAACTTAGCTCAGCTTAGCTCAGCGCAGCATTAGTATAGCATATCAAGCCATAGCCTAGCATATCATAACATAGCGCAGCATAGCATAGCGCAGCATAGCATCGCATAGCATAGCATAGCGCAGCATGCCATAGCATAGCATATCATGGCATAACACAGCTTAGCTTAGCATCGCACAGCGCAGCATAGCATAGCATAGCGCAGCATATCATAGCATAGCATCACATAGCATAGCGCAACATAGCATAGCATAGCATAACGCAGCATAACATAGCATAGCATAGCATAGCGTAGCGCAGCATAGCATTTCATAGCATAGCCTAGCATAGCGCAGCATAGCATAGCATAGCATAGCATAGCGCAGCATAACATAGCCTAGCATAACACCGCGCAGCCGAGCGTACCCTAGCATAGCATGGCATATCATAGCATCACGCAGCATAGCGCAGCATAGCAAATCATAGCCTAGCATAGCATAACATAGCGCAGCATAGCATAGCATAGCAAAGCATAGCAGCACAGCAAAGGCAAAGCAACAGCAGCACCAACAAAGCAAAGCACAAGCAACGCAAAGCCGGACCTGCAGTGCTGAACAGCCTGAACAGGCAAAGCAACAACACAATCAAGCAACAACAAAACCAAAAGCAAAGCAAACGCAACAGCAAAAGCGAATGCAAAAGCAAAGGCAAAACAATGCAAATCAACATCAACACCAATGCGAAATTGTAGATGTATATGTAGATGTAGGTGTAGGTGTATATGTGGATGTAGGTGTAGATGTAGGTATATGTAGATGTAGATGTAGGTGTAGATGTAGGTGTATATGTAGATGTGTATGTGAGTCTCGCTTTTGATGTTGATGTAGATGTAGATGCAGGTGTAGATGTTAATGTAGCTGTCGGTGTAGATGTAGATGTTGCTTTCCTAGATGCTCCGACTCCCAGGTAGGGTCGCACTGTGATAATCTTATTCGGCGTTTCGACATTGGGCGGAAAGGGAGGGGCGGAGGGAGGGGGGGTCTGGCTCCAGACCTCTGCTTAGTGCGACTGTTTGCAAGAGTGCTGCCTCTGGGGGAGACACCCGCTCGAAACAGGCGCCAAAGAACCGCCAAGGTCTACTCCATGGGGGGGGGGGGGGGGGCCGCGCCGATCGGCAAAGCACTGAATAAACAAACGAACACCACAGTGATTCCGTTTCGACCCAGGGCTCTCGCCATCGCGGCAGGCCCACCGGGCGTCTCGTCGCTCGAAGCGGGGGGGGGGCCGCGCCGATCGGCAAAAGAATGCATAAGAAAAAGGATCACTATGGCGAGCCTCTCGCAATGCCGAGGTGCTCTCGCAGCGTCGGGCGTCGGGGGCCCTCCAGGGGGCGGGGCCGCCCGAGGCCCGAGAGCGCCAGGAGCGGGACGGGGGAGGAGGAGGAGGAGGGGGAGGAGGGAGGAGGAGGGAGGAGGAGGAGGAGGAGGAGGAGGAGGGAGGAGGGGGAGGAGGAGGGGGAGGAGGAGGAGGAGGAGGAGGAGGAGGAGGGGGGGAGAGGAGGAGGAGGTGGAGGAGGAGAGGGAGGAAGAGGAGGAGGAGGCGGAGGAGGAGGAGGAGGAGAAGGAGGGGGGAGGAGGAGGAGGATGAAGAGGAGGAGGGGGAGGCGGAGGGGACGCGTTGGGCGGAAGTGGGGGGTCGGAGGGCGTCAACGACACACGACAATTCAGGGGCACGCTTGTCGTCGGGCTTCGGAGAGGGGCCCGAGGCTTCTCTGGGCCCCCCGTGGCCATTGGAGGATCAGAAGCCTCCGTGGGGCACCTGCTGACAGAAGCAGAGCTCTTGCTACTGATTTGACGCGTCTCCACACCCACACTTGGCCTTGCACTGGTCCCGTCCTGGACCCAGGATCGGTGGCCTTTGATCCCCGGCCAAGTCAGGAGGGCGTGTGCACTGATCCTGGCCCCAGGTTGGGCCTGGCAAGGATTGATGTAGGTGTATCGTTGGCGTGGCGTCCTCGTAAAAGAGGGGAGGAAGCGCATGGGGAGGAGACGAGGAAAGGGTGGATCGCAATCTCACGTATTCGATTTGCCAGTCGGAGAATTTCGAATCGGTCCCCAGCCAACCGGATCGGAACACATCGGATCGGCAAGATGAGCCGGATCGGTAGGGTTGCAGAGACTCGACTTGATCGTGGTCGAACCCGATCGGTCGAAACGGGTCCTGGGAAGGGCGGATGGGGAGAGGACGGGCGGGGAGTGGGCGCTGGGGGCAGCCAAAGTCGGTCGTTGGCAGAACTCGTTTTAGTGGGACCTGGTTTAAACACGTGTGCTGGGGGGCGCCCTCGTCGCCCCGTTCCACGAACTGGAACTGCCGTTCACCCGAAAAAACATGCGTTACGGCAGACCTGGTTTAGTGATTCTGGCCAATCTAGGGGCTCCGGGGCCCTACCACTGACCGGGTCCCCTTACCTGGGATCCTTGCTGTACCCGACGAAGGCCACAGGTGAGAGAAAGTATGGAGACGGGGGGAACCATGTGCGGACACAGAGTGGCGAAGGGGACGGGGTAACGGATCGAGGGAACGAGTGCGCCGCGGGGGGCAAAGTCAAGGAATCCCCAGGAGGGCTCACGGTGCACCCCTGGAGGAGGAGGGAAAGAAAGCGAGGACCATGACCAAGACTGCACGCGGAAACGTCAGTGCCGATCTTGGTCAATTCGTGGATGATCCGTGCGACTTGGCGATGGTCAGCATGGACCATGACCAAGGTCGGCGTCGACAAGATCCCGCGACATCTTGACAGTGGTCATTTTCCCTCGAAGGGAGAAGCAGGGACGAGGAGCGGGAGCTGCCTCACGCCGCACTCGCGCTCGGCCTGGTGCGGTCCAGGCCCTCCTCTTATCCGTGGGGTGAGGCGCTCACGCGCGCGGGGCGAGGACGGCACCGACCGTCTCGGGGCCCTCTGCGCCCTGGCACGTGCGCACCTCCAGGCCCCCGATCCGGTAGGCGCGGAACCGCGAGCCCTCCTCGGTGACCTGGTCGAAGCTCGGCGCAGCCGCCCCGAGCGCCTCTGTGAGCTCGCCCGCCTGCTCCAGCAGGTCTGCCCGGGGCACCAGGCAGCGGCGCGGCTCCTGGGCGCGGAACGGCTCCTGCCACGAGGAGGGGAACAGCGCCCCGGCCTCCTTCTCCTCGAACTTGGCGCTGAAGAAGTGGCGCTTGCGCTGCTCCTGCACAGCGGCCTCCTCCCTGATGAGTGCACGCAGCTTCTCTGCGTGCGCACCGCAGGTGGGTGGGGGCACGAAGAGGTCGCCCTCCACGCGTCTGTCCGAGAGACGCGGGTTGAACACTGCGCGCAGCAGCTCGATGTCCTTGTCGCAGAACAAACTCTCCTCTGAGTCATCGATCATCTGCCAGAAGCTGGCGCCCATCGGAGGAGCTAAACCGACCTGCGAGAGGATCATCTCCGAGCTCTGCTCAGCCTCAGAGAGCTCGAAACCATCGAGGTTGAGATCCACGCCGCGCGGCACGCCGCCTGCACGCATGGACACTGCGGCACGCATCGCTGGGGTGCGCAGCCCGCCCGTCACGCTCGTTGCCATGGAGAGCGCCGCCGAGACGCGCGGCATCGGCCCGCGGGCTCCCACGCGAGCGAACTGCACCGAGGCGGACGCCGCCCTCGCGCCCACGGTGAACTTCTCCAGGCCGAACTGCACGCCGCGCGGCACGCCGCCTGCACGCATGGACACTGCGGCACGCATCGCCGGGGTGCGCAGCCCGCCCGTCACGCTCGTTGCCATGGAGAGCGCCGCCGAGACGCGCGGCATCGGCCCGCGGGCTCCCACGCGAGCGAACTGCACCGAGGCGGACGCCGCCCTCGCGCCCACGGTGAACTTCTCCAGGCCGAACTGCACGCCGCGCGGCACGCCGCCTGCACGCATGGACACTGCGGCACGCATCGCCGGGGTGCGCAGCCCGCCCGTCACGCTCGTTGCCATGGAGAGCGCCGCCGAGACGCGCGGCATCGGCCCGCGGGCTCCCACGCGAGCGAACTGCACCGAGGCGGACGCCGCCCTCGCGCCCACGGTGAACTTCTCCAGGCCGAACTGCACACCACCGTACACGCCGTGCATGCGCGGGTTGAGTTTATCCTCGTCAATGGTGCCATCTCTCACCTGAACCCTGGCGTGGTAGCGCTCGTTCCAGAGCTGGGGAACCTTCGTCACCTTCGACCCCTCGAAAGCGCTCGCCAGATTGAACCATGAGTCGTCCAGCTGCACCCCGGAATCGATGAGGTACTTTGCCAGAGTGGACGCCTTGGCCACCTCGCGAAGCTGGTTCACCACGCTGAGACGCTCGGCAATCAGGTCGAAACTCTGCGTGAAGGCCTCTGCGTACCTGGCCAGGGGGTGGTCCGGCCTGGTGACCTGCGCGTCCTCCATGCCGCTGCCAGACACCACCTGCTCCCGGGCCTCCACGCCCATCCGGATGTGCGGGACGAGCGCGTTGTCCCCCGACACGGCAACAGCAGCACCCCTGACCACGAACCACTCGCGCGCGTTCCAGTCCACGTCCTTCTCCCGGCCGTCGACGAGGTCGAGGCAGCTCTTCATGCCCACGACCGGCTGCGCGTGCTCCCCCATGGAGAGCTCCTTCAGGCGGTAGTCTGCCTGGAACATGACCTCGCCGAGGCTCGTGTCCGCCAGCCACGCGGGCTCGAAGCGCTTCTGCTGCATCGAGGCCGTGTCCGCGCCGTCCACCGGGTCCAGGGAAAAGAAGGGCTCGCAGCCGACCTCGCGCCGCACCCTCAGGGCGGTGGACAGGTACTCCAGGTTCACCGCGGCGGCGGGCTCCACGGTGGGGGCCACGCGGATGGATCCCGCCCCGTCAAGGACCAGCGCGCACATGAAGCTGGGCTGGGGCTCGCAGCCGAGGCCCACGGAGGCCATGCTGACGGGGATGTTCTCCGCCTTCCAGCCGATGCCGTGCTCCGCGCGCAGCTCCTCCTTCCGCTCGCGGTCCCTCTGCCTGCGCGACGCCTCCTCCTCGTTGAGCCTGCGGAGCTGCGCCTGGGCCTCGCTCCCCGCCTCGGCGCAGGCGGCCTGCAGGGCCCGCCTCAGCTCCGCCCTGGCCTCTCCGCTCGCGCATCCCCGCGGCTCCGCGGCGTCGCCTGCGCGCCACTCCAGGGCCTCCTGGTCCACGCCGGCCCGGGGTGCCTCCCGCTCCTCCTCGCCCACGGGCCCAGCCGAGAAGCGCGCGCCGTAGGCCAGCAGCACCTCCTCCTCCGGAGTGAGCGGGTCTGCCTCCTCGGAGGACGACCCCTCCGTGGTGGAGTCCTCGTCCGCGCCCCCCTCGACGACCGGGGCGACCAGCGCCTTGCCCTTGAAGCACGTGCTGACCCAGCCGGTCGCGGGCCCCTCGCCCCGGACGAGCTCGAAGCGGAGGTGGCCGCCCTCGTGCTCCAGGGCCCTCACCACGGCGCCCGTGGAGAGGAGCTGCCCGAGCTCGGGCGCCGAGATGCCGCTCCCCTCACGCACGGCGAGTCCACCCTTCAGCGGGAGGCCTACGCTCTCTGGCACCGCCACCCACAAGATCACAGGGGGGGGTAACTACCTCAATCGGGAGCGCCTGGCCCACGGTCCTGGTGCAAGTGGTGGTGCACGGCCAGGCCCCTCGGGCGGCCTGAATGTGCCCTGCCCTAGCACCTCCACGATCGGGGGTCGGGTTTCCACGGTGGAGGCGGCTCCATGGCCACGGGTCTTGATGGTGGCGGTGTCAACGCGTACGCCTCCGGCCTTGGCCCCGGCGCCCACTACGGTCCACAGCTCGCCGTCCACCATTGCGCCTGCTCCCGACAGAAGAATTCTGACGGTGTCGCGGGCCTCCAGGGCTTCCGACCTCAAAGCCGAGCAGTTTGAGCCAAAATGGCTGCGAAGGGGGGCCAGACCACACTGCTTGCATGAGGTTCCTTGTCCATCCTCCACCGCCCACCTCTGCTCCTGCACTGGATGCCGAAGCTTCGCCGAGGATGCGGGTGGGCGTGGGCGGGGAACGGGAGGCGAGGGCAGGGCAGGATGGAGGGCGCACGGTGGGAAGGACGGCGACGGGAGGGCGACGTGAGGGGCGGGGAGGGGGGGGTAAAAGATGGGAAGGGGGAGGGGAAGGGGGGGCCTGAGTGGAGGAGACCGCGCAGAATGGGCGGACGGTAGCACGGCGGGCGACGGGAGAGCGGGCAAGGACAAGCCAAGCGCGCTCGCGCCGCGTCTGACATCCTGCCCCCTCCCACTCGTCATTTCCCGTGGCGCTGCATCGTTGTCAATTCGCCGACTGGGGTGTCCGTGTGCTAGAGGACCCTGTCCCCTAAGCGGAAGTGTCGAGATCCAGCCCGCTCTTTGCTGTGCAGTCGGGCACGGGTGCCTTTGTTTTTGCAATAGAGACGTGGAGGTGGATAAAGGCGGAAAAGGCGGACGAGGAGCAGGAACAGGAGGAGGAGGAGGAGGACGTGGAGTAGGAGGAGTGACGCTGCGGGTGAAGCTTCGCCCACCTCTCGCGCGAAAGAAAAAGAGGAGGAGGGGGAGTTGGAGGAGGAGGAGGAGGAGGAGCAGACACGGTGGCGAGAGAGGGGAAACTGAGGGGAACGGCAACGACGAGGAAGGACTCGGATCCAACAATGAGGCCCGCACTGGAGCGGGGGCCCCAGCGCTGCAGCGGGGGCACCCGCTTTGAAAGCCCGAGCACGCTCCGATCGAACCATTCGAGGAGCAACACGCACGTGCTGAAATCCTGTATGTGAGCACGAACCCGCTGGGCATGTCAGAGGCGACGGGAGAATCGTGCTCGTGCTGCGTCATCGTGCAGTGGGTCAAGGATCATGGAAGAGAGGTCTGGGGGTCCGAAGGGGTCGGCGTGGGGGCGTGAAGTGTGCGTGGGGTCTGCGCGGCCTGGGAGGGCGAGTGGGTCAGTGGGTGGGCGGTCTGGGAATTCTCGGCAGTCTGCTGGGAGAACAAAAAGGTACAGGTACCGATGCTCCCTGGACTTCGCCTGGGATGCGATCAGATCAAGGCTTCGAGGTGAAGTGCTGATGCTGATGGTGCTGCTCCTCCGTCTCCTCGTCCTGCACTCTCCTGATCTCGGGGATGAACAGAACCCCCTTTCGTAAAACGTGGTTTTAGCGCAAACGACCTCGGGCCCAAACCTGGCGGGCGCAAGCCTGGAAAACGACGGCTGCGGCGCCCACTCGAGAACCGCAAACGGACAATTCACTAATCGACGTGTCAGGTTGGAGATCCTGTCCACCCCCGATCCGAATCATTCCCACAGTCGAAGCAAGGCTTAGGTCGGGCGTGCCCCCCTACAGGCGGATTTTGGACGAACAATAGATCGTCAAACATGGTAGGAAAATGTTCCCCAGACTATTGTTTGACTATTCTTCAATGTTACCCCTGTAAAGGGACAGACCCGCCTTAAAGCAGGGTCACAAGAACATGGCTCAAGAACATGGCCCCCTGCGCCGAGAGACCAGGGCCCCGTGGAGATTCGCCCATGCCGGATAGCGCTCCCAGCTGGAAACAGCCAAATCACGAAGAACACGCTCCGAGCTTCTTAATACGCGTCGGGGGGGTACCCCCCCGACAAGAAGCGTCGGGGGGATACCCCCCGACGAGGGTCAACCTCGCCTCGTCGTCGCGCCACGACGGGGGCCGGAGCGCCTTCGGCGCGCGGTGGCTGCCCGCGACGGGAATCGATGTGGGGCTGTCGGCGGGGGTGACGCCCCCCCGACGCTTATTCAGAAACTCGGAGTAAGGGTAACTACCCCAACAACATCAAGGATGTGTTACCCTCGTGGCAGTTCCCTGACACGGAACGTGGCGCTCCCCTGGTACCTGGAGGGCCCCAAAGGCGCTGCAGAAGCATGCGAGGCGAATGAGTGCGTCGCGGGGGACGCGTCCAAGTTATCCCGAGGACGGTTCACGGTGCACACCTTGGAAGAGGAGGGATTGATAAAGGAGGAAAGGGAGGGATAAGGAGTAGGGAGGAAGGGGATGATGATGATGATGATGATGATGATGATGATGATGATGATGATGATGATGATGATGATGATGATGATGATGATGATGGTGATGGTGATGGTGATGGTGATGGTGATGGTGGTGGTGGTGGTGGTGATGATGATGATGATGGTGATGATGATGATGATGACGATGATGATGGTGATGGTGGTGATGATGATGATGATGATGATGATGATGATGATGATGAGAAGGAGGAGTAGGAAGATGAGGAGGAGGGAGAAGCAGGGACGAGGAGCGGGAGCTGCCTCACGCCGCACTCGCGCTCGGCCTGGTGCGGTCCAGGCCCTCCTCTTATCCGTGGGGTGAGGCGCTCACGCGCGCGGGGCGAGGACGGCACCGACCGTCTCGGGGCCCTCTGCGCCCTGGCACGTGCGCACCTCCAGGCCCCCGATCCGGTAGGCGCGGAACCGCGAGCCCTCCTCGGTGACCTGGTCGAAGCTCGGCGCAGCCGCCCCGAGCGCCTCTGTGAGCTCGCCCGCCTGCTCCAGCAGGTCTGCCCGGGGCACCAGGCAGCGGCGCGGCTCCTGGGCGCGGAACGGCTCCTGCCACGAGGAGGGGAACAGCGCCCCGGCCTCCTTCTCCTCGAACTTGGCGCTGAAGAAGTGGCGCTTGCGCTGCTCCTGCACAGCGGCCTCCTCCCTGATGAGTGCACGCAGCTTCTCTGCGTGCGCACCGCAGGTGGGTGGGGGCACGAAGAGGTCGCCCTCCACGCGTCTGTCCGAGAGACGCGGGTTGAACACTGCGCGCAGCAGCTCGATGTCCTTGTCGCAGAACAAACTCTCCTCTGAGTCATCGATCATCTGCCAGAAGCTGGCGCCCATCGGAGGAGCCAAACCGACCTGCGAGAGGATCATCTCCGAGCTCTGCTCAGCCTCAGAGAGCTCGAAACCATCGAGGTTGAGATCCACGCCGCGCGGCACGCCGCCTGCACGCATGGACACTGCGGCACGCATCGCCGGGGTGCGCAGCCCGCCCGTCACGCTCGTTGCCATGGAGAGCGCCGCCGAGACGCGCGGCATCGGCCCGCGGGCTCCCACGCGAGCGAACTGCACCGAGGCGGACGCCGCCCTCGCGCCCACGGTGAACTTCTCCAGGCCGAACTGCACGCCGCGCGGCACGCCGCCTGCACGCATGGACACTGCGGCACGCATCGCCGGGGTGCGCAGCCCGCCCGTCACGCTCGTTGCCATGGAGAGCGCCGCCGAGACGCGCGGCATCGGCCCGCGGGCTCCCACGCGAGCGAACTGCACCGAGGCGGACGCCGCCCTCGCGCCCACGGTGAACTTCTCCAGGCCGAACTGCACGCCGCGCGGCACGCCGCCTGCACGCATGGACACTGCGGCACGCATCGCTGGGGTGCGCAGCCCGCCCGTCACGCTCGTTGCCATGGAGAGCGCCGCCGAGACGCGCGGCATCGGCCCGCGGGCTCCCACGCGAGCGAACTGCACCGAGGCGGACGCCGCCCTCGCGCCCACGGTGAACTTCTCCAGGCCGAACTGCACACCACCGTACACGCCGTGCATGCGCGGGTTGAGATCATCCTCGTCAATGGTGCCATCTCTCACCTGAACCCTGGCGTGGTAGCGCTCGTTCCAGAGCTGGGGAACCTTCGTCACCTTCGACCCCTCGAAAGCGCTCGCCAGATTGAACCATGAGTCGTCCAGCTGCACCCCGGAATCGATGAGGTACTTTGCCAGAGTGGACGCCTTGGCCACCTCGCGAAGCTGGTTCACCACGCTGAGACGCTCGGCAATCAGGTCGAAACTCTGCGTGAAGGCCTCTGCGTACCTGGCCAGGGGGTGGTCCGGCCTGGTGACCTGCGCGTCCTCCATGCCGCTGCCAGACACCACCTGCTCCCGGGCCTCCACGCCCATCCGGATGTGCGGGACGAGCGCGTTGTCCCCCGACACGGCAACAGCAGCACCCCTGACCACGAACCACTCGCGCGCGTTCCAGTCCACGTCCTTCTCCCGGCCGTCGACGAGGTCGAGGCAGCTCTTCATGCCCACGACCGGCTGCGCGTGCTCCCCCATGGAGAGTTCCTTCAGGCGGTAGTCTGCCTGGAACATGACCTCGCCGAGGCTCGTGTCCGCCAGCCACGCGGGCTCGAAGCGCTTCTGCTGCATCGAGGCCGTGTCCGCGCCGTCCACCGGGTCCAGGGAAAAGAAGGGCTCGCAGCCGACCTCGCGCCGCACCCTCAGGGCGGTGGACAGGTACTCCAGGTTCACCGCGGCGGCGGGCTCCACGGTGGGGGCCACGCGGATGGATCCCGCCCCGTCAAGGACCAGCGCGCACATGAAGCTGGGCTGGGGCTCGCAGCCGAGGCCCACGGAGGCCATGCTGACGGGGATGTTCTCCGCCTTCCAGCCGATGCCGTGCTCCGCGCGCAGCTCCTCCTTCCGCTCGCGGTCCCTCTGCCTGCGCGACGCCTCCTCCTCGTTGAGCCTGCGGAGCTGCGCCTGGGCCTCGCTCCCCGCCTCGGCGCAGGCGGCCTGCAGGGCCCGCCTCAGCTCCGCCCTGGCCTCTCCGCTCGCGCATCCCCGCGGCTCCGCGGCGTCGCCTGCGCGCCACTCCAGGGCCTCCTGGTCCACGCCGGCCCGGGGTGCCTCCCGCTCCTCCTCGCCCACGGGCCCAGCCGAGAAGCGCGCGCCGTAGGCCAGCAGCACCTCCTCCTCCGGAGTGAGCGGGTCTGCCTCCTCGGAGGACGACCCCTCCGTGGTGGAGTCCTCGTCCGCGCCCCCCTCGACGACCGGGGCGACCAGCGC